GGTTAGAGGAAGAGAAAAAGGAGAGACTTGCATAAAGCTTTTGGGAAAACCCTGAGGAGAAAACTTTGAGAAAACTTCTGAGGAGAACACTACAGCCAGCATAAAATTGGAGAAGGAAGAAGACATAGGGAAGTACTGAAAGATTTCCCTGTTTCTTCCTTAGCTCATCAGGAATTTAAGGATCTTTTTGACTTGAAGCCCAAAATAGTTCAAATTATTTAAAGACCGACACTTTTTTTTTTAAAGTACTTTGATGAGTTAGGCAGAAGACAGTTGCCAGGTATGTTTTATAAAAAGAATCTTACTGCTGTACTTCTAAAAATAATGTTATACATATGTATATAAACTACATGGGACATTGTGGAACACTTAAGGTTTGAAGGTAATTCCTTAGGCAGGGCAGGGCAGGCTGTCAGGATCCACAGCTCCACTGTGGATCCCTCCAGCAATGCCAGCATGCAGCCCCAGCCTGGCCCATGCCAGGGGTGTTGAGTGAATCACTCCAGGAAACACCAAACACACTGAGACATTCACTGAGAGAGAAGGAAAGTGTATTTCTGCCTACTTTCTATGTATATTTTTTGCCATTTCCAAATATTTCCTTTGCTTTCAACCTCTACACATCAAATGATAGCAAATTGCAAATGTACTAGTTCCAGCTGAGCACAACTGGGGGTGAAATAGCTTTTCTTTGAAGCTGGAGCTAGAGTCCCCTTGAAAAGCTGTAGGGAGAGCTACAGACATTTGCAAATGAAAACTGAATTTCTGACCAGGTGATTCAAAGCATTGTGATTCATGAAACTTATTTTCCGAGGAGCTACATAATCCATTAAGAGAGCAGGCAGTGAAAGGGACCACCCCCGTAGCTAAGACAGCAATCACCAGGTACACAGCTTATTAAAAGAATGTCATTGTCTTCCAGATCAGCAGAAAAGCAACATAGATCTTTGTGAATATATTGTAATATTAAAAAATATATTCTAGCTTCTTTTATTTTTTCACTGATTGGAACATGATCATGGATCTCAGTACACATCTCAAGCAGAGGAAAAAAAACAGGATCAGGATCCAGGGCCAAATCCACCACATGTTGTAATGCTCTGGGAGCTCTTCCCACCTCTGTTGTCACCCTCTTGTATAGGTGCTCCCTCAGCCTCTTACCTGGAGCATATGTGGGAGTGCTGGTAGAAGAGCTGACAGCTCTGTGTGCACCAAGGCAATTTTCTTTTGGAAAATCAAGGCTTTCTGAGTGGCTATGTGTGTCTGCTGGAACACAATACTGACACTGCCCCACAAATTTCAATATTGCACACATGCAAAATGCAGTGTGTGCGTGTTTGCCTGTTGTGGGCAGGAATTGAGACCCAGGCAAGCAACCCCAGCAGTGCTGGGTGAGGGTGAGCAGTCAGATGCCTGATGGTTTCCTGTTTGATCACATGTATAGAAACAGACATGAGAAATCTGCAGGGATCTTTATGAAGTCAGTTATCTATGGACAATTTCAAAATAAAACATTAGCTGAGGTAAAAATAGAGAGCTCCAATTAGATTTTTGTAGCATTTCACTTTTTTGCTTTATTCCCTGCGTACCATGTAACCAGCTACCATTCCAACATTTTTCTTCATGTATGGGAACCAGTGAAGTATTTCAGGATCTCAAGTGAAACTGTGGTGTATGCTTTTGCTTCATAAACCCCCCATCCATTTAAACAGCTGGTAGCTTCCAGCACTGCTTGCATTTTAGAGTTATGGATGATGTAAATTCAGCCTGATGAAACACTAAGCTAACTGCTGCTCAGATGGAAAGGGGCTGCAGTGAAATATTATTTCAGTGAAACCCATACTTGGTGGAGGTTGGAGAATGCATACTCTGTAATTTAGTTTTTGCTTGTATCAGGTTTTGTCATAGAAGAAGTTAAGACTCTTAAGGACTTTGACAGCAATGTGAGGTTACCCATGGTCACAGCAGAGCTGCAGATTCTTATACTCTCAGAGGGATGTTGGTTGAGATCTATACCTCTCAATAAGCATGCTTTCTGCTTCTGCCTGCCTCCGACAAGCTGCACTTTCAAATACTGGTTTGGAAATTTTAGTCATCCCAAGGGCAACCCAAGGAACTGCACAGGGCCTACATAAAATTAAGAAGTTAGTGCCCCAATTCTAGATATTTAATCCAGAAAAAACCCCAAACATTCCCCTGCTTGATAAATAGTGCTAGACATTGTGACTTGGGCAGAAACAGAGACAGGCACATGGGGGTGCCCCCTGCAGCCAGACCCTGTGGGCAGCAGGAAAGGCGATGCTCAGAGCATGTGAGGGAGGTCACTTGGCCCTGCTGCATGAAAAACCCTGTTAGCTGCCCAGTGCAGCTCAAGCTCACTGATTGCAAGGCCAATATGTAAAATGTGTATCATTACTCTCCTCAGTTATCAAGACAGACCTTCTCAGAGTATATACTTTCCTTCCATCCAGCTCATTAAATATCAGTCTTAAAAGCAAAACGTATGAAGTGAGAAAGAAACAGCCAGCTCACTACTGAAATAAAAGTTTAATTGGAGTGTGCCAGCTGAGTTTCACACACATGGTCAAATATTACTAATGAAAGGTTGCAAATATCTCCCTTCTTCCCTTGAAATATTCCAAATAGACTGTCTTTTAGGGAGTGAAATCCAGTAATTAGCCCAGGCTTTAAACCACAAGGACTGTAAGGAATTGACCACAGAGCAGAGACCAAAGATCAAAAAAAATCCATTAAAGCAAAAAAAAAAAAGGAAAGAAAAAAGCAAAATCAGTAGGTACAGTTGCAGAATTTGATGTTCACAAGGAAACCCTTAATGGATACTCAAGAGCATTGCTTCCAGCTGCCCTAAGAGCCTTGTAGAGAAATGAAAACAAAATTACCTTTATTTCACAGTAACAACAAAAGCCAAAGAATTTCCAGTATTGGATGGTTTTTGATTGGAAGAACTTTCTACTGATTTCATTTAAAAACTTATTAAAGCAGAGTTTGCCTTCTTGATCTTATACCTACAACTGCACTTGATGACCAGAGGGGTTGAGATTTTAGCAACTGGTCACTGATTTGCACTGCTCAAGTTCATGGTTGTCACAACTCTGTTCTAGGCAGTTGATAACCTATATAAGCAATGGAAAGAAAAAGAGGATGGCAGAATAATACAGAAATTATGCAAACACAAGAGTTCATGTTTAGGCTGTGACACACATTCTGATGGGAAATGCAAAGGGAGACAAGCAATTAGATGTAAGGCTCATGGATTTACTCCTTTTTGATGTGTTTTCCTTAATTTCTTCCCCTCAAATCCCTTCTTATCTGAGCATTCCTCAGTGCACTACAAGAGTTACCAGGAAAAATTATTCCCTTCCTTCTTAAAGTTTCTACATGACAGCTTAATATTCCCACTGGGTATTTATAGAATAATTAATGAATAACAAAAGTTGAAATTGGGAAAGGGCTTTTGGATCATCCTCTCCATCTCTCTCTGCCATAAGCAGAGCACTGCAGTCAGAAAAGCAACAAAGAGAGCTGGCATTCTTGCAGCCTAAAACATGATTGAAAGAGAAAATTGAGATGCTCTTAAATACAAATCCTGGAAGTAACTATGGGTAAACTACCTTATGGACTCTCTCATTTCTTTGCCTTTTTCTTTTTCTTTTTTTCTTTTTTTTTTTTTTTTTTGTTCCATTTTTTTTGCTGCTTTTGTAGTTATCAAAAGCCACTTGTTGCGGGCAATGATTATTCTCACACAATATCATAGTTTAGTCTTATGTTTGCCTCTGACATGCAGTCTGCATTGCAGCATCTTCCATTTACAGCTGTGGCCCAAGAGTACCATGAGGTTTCCAGTTCTCTTGTCTGCAAGAGATACACTGCAAGGCAGGCACCAGAGAACTGAGAATAGTTATTGGTAATTCAAATGGGATAGCAATTTTCACTCTAACCTACTGTCTTCAAGCCCTACAAAGGCTAGCACTGCCTTCAGAATCACTGTTTGAATTGTTCCTCTTCCCTGTGATTATAGCCAATTCTGTTGGTAGAGAATTAGCCTTATTAGCCTCCATTACAGCTATTACAGAAACATTTATTGTTTAGCACATCTCTCCTTTCCCTGTAGCTGCAATGCTGATATGCAGATAATGCTGGTTTCATTTATTACTTTTTAGTTGGCATCCCCTTATCCATATCTCAAGGGAAGTTTCCTAACTGAGCTCCAAGATCCTGGTCATACCAGGCTTTGTAATAAATAGGATTTATGTGAAAATTTAAGATTCTTCTTGTCTTTGCTAGAGACTGCCTACCAACCCTACTGAAAGACTCACTTGTGATTTGCTGCCAAAGGATTAATTTTCTACCAGCACAGGTTCAGGTCTATTAGCAAAGACAGGATGTCTTGACTGTTGTGTCTGTGCCTTAGATAGTGTTTGCAGGAGCTGGTGTTCTTGGCTAATGGACCTTGGCTAATGGGATTTTGTTTCAAACAAAGGCTTTTCTATGTTTTACCTTTGCATCTGTCAATTACAGTCTGGCACTTGTTTCTCATCAGCTGACTTACTCTATTTCTTAGCTTCCTGGGGAGATAGTAGATCCAAGTGGGATGAACAGCAAAGGAGGGATTTCCCTGGCTGGAGCTTTCTGCCATGTGTTTGCTGTGAGCTGTGCCCTGGCTGCCACTGTGCCTGTCAGACAGAGCCCCAGCAGCTCAGGCTTCACCCAGCGCCGGAGCTTGCACAGCCAGACTGAAGACGCAGAGCCACACACAAGGGCTGGACAACCTTGCCTTTCAAGCACAGAAGTGCAGAGTGCCAGACCTATCAAATTAAGCATCATCAGAGAAGCACAGCTCAAAGGCAATTATGTCCTTAAGCATGTGTTGCCCTTCCCTCTGTGCGGGACCCAGCTGTGATCCAGAGCCAGTGCAGCGTTTTTCTCCCCAAATTCTTCAGTCTCTGCAGAATCTGGAAGCGCTGAGAGCCCCTGGAGTTCTATTGGTCCACTAAATCTGGAGGAGGAGGGATGAGGTCCCGTGGGTTCAGCCGGGCCACGAGGCACACGTCGTAGCTGTCATGCATGAGGACGTTGGTGGCCACCACGTTCCACTGGTTCTCCCACGTGTCCAGCTCCAGGATCTCCTTGGTGATCACTTCATGACGAGCTGAAAAACAAAGGCAACAGCAGCAGGGGGCAAGTCAAACAGGATCCAAGAGGTTTGGGCAGTTGTTATTATGAGCCTTCTGAAAGGGGAAATAAAAAGGTAATTTCTGTGGTACCAATACTGTGAACATAGAGCAAATTAAATAGTGCAGATGGAAATCTCCACAGTGCAGTCAGTCCTCACACTCTGGGTGCCAGGTGCAGAGACAAAAGCACCAAGTGCTTCATCATTGTACAAGCATGCAGGTGGCATTTTATCCTGCAGTCAACTGTCAGATGCTCATCTTTTAGAGACAGAGAGTTGCCTCTTGTTCACAAGCATGCCTGCATGCAGTGTGTTCTTTTCTTTGCCCCAGCCAAGATGCAATTCTCAGGCTGCAGGAAGCACTCCAATACTATGGCTTTTCTTGGGTGCACAGTCTGGACATCCTGTGATTTAGGGAGAAATAAAGACAGAAAGAGCCCCCAAGGCTCTAGATGCACTTTAGATGTTCTGAAATGCTGAGGAATTTGTCATGGACGGGCAGGTTAGAAGAATGTCATTAAATCACAGCCAATCTCCAGACAAGAACCTTTTTACAAAGACAAACAAAACATAAAGGAATCACCATGAGGCAGAGAACCAGCAGTGCTAAATCAAAATTCTTACAAGACTACAAACCCTTCTTTTGCTAACAACAGTCCTGAGCTCTGCAACAATTGTTACTCAAAGCCAATCTAACATAAAAATAAAACCATCTTTCATTTCTGCTCACTTTTTCTTTTCATCTTAAAGTTGCTTTCTCACAGCAAGTAACTTTAGCCTAAGTTTTCCTTACTTTGAGCTGAGGACATGCATGTGCTTTGCTGTCAGATGAGCCTCAGGAGAGATGCTTTAAAAGCCAGGTCTCAGACTTCCAAGGACAGACACTTCACAGGTACCAGGATAAGAACCATCACAGCAAGAATCATTGAATACTCAATGCTGTTTTATTGAGCCTTAAGAGACTGGTGACAGGATAAAATTTACAGGCTTCAAAATGAGATTCCCATTCAGCTAACTCTTATGGGAATTTTTAAATACAAACCCCCAGCAACAGCCCTATCTCCCATCTATCAATTGCACCTCATGGTTTGGGCACTACCCTTCTGTGTAACTGACACTAAAGGATTGAAGAAGAGCAAAAGAATGAAAGCAGAAGAGCACCCAGAGACACAGATTGTTCCTCATGTTGGAAACAGACCACATATTCCTCCAGGGGACAGCAGCTCTGGGGGTTGAGTACAAAATTGGTGTTGATGTTATAATGATGCAGTGTGGTGGGATTTAAAATATCCTCCTGCAGGGGGGAGCTTTGGGATGTGGGGAGGTCAGATGGAAACAAGGCTTCCCCTCCCAGGAAAGGCTCCCTTGCTGAGTGGGTACAGGACAGTTCTGTTTTCAGCAGGTCCTGAACATGCACAAGACCTGTGGATGTTGCACAAGTTTTGTGCACATTTCTGCAGATTTTTGTCATGCTTATCTAAGGCATCCACTCACCACCCACTTCACCATCACCCCCTTTCATCTGGATACAGGAGGGCAGCACAGCTTTTCTACCCCAGCTTCCACAACCTGTTCTCATTTCCCCCCCTGCTGTGTCACAATTTATTGTGGTGTAATTTTTGTAGGTCCAAAGCCAGACCTCTGGGACTCTCATAGATCTCCACAAGCACAAGCCTACTCTCCAGGAGCTTTGAGCAAGACTGCAGGATACAGTCTCATCTGAACAGTCTTTGTTCCATTCCTTTTTGTGAAACAGGTTATGATGGACTGCTTATTGAACCTGGACTTTTGAGAAGGAAAATAATACACTGGAAGGCTGCAGCCATTCAAGACAGAAGACAGCAAACTGCTAAAAAAGCCATTTACACGTGAAGAGAGAAAACACAACTGAAAAAAGATCAAACAAATAACATGTGCCACTACCAGCAAACTCCTATGTGACCCTGCAAGAGTGAAGAGGTTTTTCCTGAGGCAAATGCAGGAACACAAACAGACCAAAGCGGTGGCACAGGAGACTCCTGTCTCTCTGTTTTTTTATTAGATCATCTCTTTTATGCAATAATTTTTTATGCCTGGATTTTCTTTGGCATGCATGATGACAAAAATGTGACAAACACAGGAAAAATAATCAAATGCTGGAACTAAGATATTCGGTGAGTGATTGCAACACTTCAGTAAAAGAATTCATAATTAAAACATCAAAGGCAGGTTCAGCAACCCTTCCTTACAAGCCTTGCTGTGTTTTTTCCTGACCTGGGTGACTCTCAACCTTTGCGTCCCTTGTTTCCCTTTTTCTGTGGGATATTCTGACTGGTTTTGTTCCACATTAGAAATTCTGCTTTGCAGCACAAGCAGTGTTAGTTAACTGTTAACCCTTGGGAGATAAAAAGAGTCAAGGGAAGCAATAACTTCTCTAGTCTTATCTTGTTTAAAGGAAATTAAGCAGCACCCTTTAGATGAGAGAGTTCATGTGAGGCAAAGCACTGCTCAAAATAGTCATACTTCAGAAAAAAAATTACACCTTTTCTATTTAAAAGAGAAATGAGTTGAAAACCTTCAGTTCTCAAGCCTTCTTTTAATCTTATTTTTTCTTGGTAAAAACAACAGAAAAAGTGGTGCTTTCCAAAGAGAATAGCACCTTTGATTCCAGGCTATAATGCTGGATTTGGGCTTTAATTCCAATAAACAGCTTGAAGGTACAAATAATTCCTGATTCTTCTTCATTGATTTGCCTTATTTAATTGCAATTTTAAACAGACAATGTCATAGAAGATTATTCTGCTCACAGGAGAATCATATGACACCTGCAGAATGATATTGGCTGTATTGCAGAGATCACCTTCCTAAAAAGCCACCCCACACAACTCTCTGTCCTCATTGCATTATTCTGCCTTACCAGACAACCACCTTCCCTAATGAAAGGGTTTCACTCATTTTATTTCTACAGAATGAGGCATTGTTTTTCTGCATGTTCTTGTTTAAGAAGTTAAAGTTTTAAAGAAACTTTCTTACCCTGTGTTTTTCTGCACAGGATTTAAACCACTTTGGATTAGAATTATTCCAATTGTACAAACCTACCCCTGATGCAGATCCTTTTCTAGCAGTAAAGCAGTGATTTATTCATACTCAAGAAAGAAAGAGGATAAACCAGCAAAGGGATCATTAATCCCAGTGTAACTTAATCCCCACCAGAAATGGTGGGGTGTTAAAAAGAGTCAGAACTCTTTTGGTACAGTTTTGCCTTCTTGATGTACAAGTGCAGACTGAAGGTTAACAGTGACCCTAGAAATCCATCTCTTCCCAGTGCAAGACTTAAATTACACCTGAAAATGTTCTATTTATGAGAGTTAAAACTGTATTTTATATATGCAAATACAGTAGTCAAAGCAAAATTAGTTTTAAGATTAACTTTTATATTCTGGTCTGCAAACAAAACACTTTTTCACATCATATTTTTCTTTGAATGTGCAGAAAGAGAAAGAACAAAAATATTAATTTTCAGTAAGTGATTGCCTGCCTTCCATATACACAATCATGTTTTTTCTTGGAAAGGTTTGTGACTCACTCCCCAAATATGGCCAGACTTCATTTTATGCCATAAGTTTTCTCATGCCATTTGAATCAGGATTGAACATAAATCAGGATGAACAATTCTTGGAAAGACACACAGTATGACTGCAGGCAACATAAATATTTCATATGCTTTTTCATCTGTTTTGCTGTTGTTGGTTTTTTGTTTTGTTTTTTGGGTTTTTTTGCTTTGTTGGGTTTTGTGTCTTTGTGGGTGTTTTGATGGATTTTTTTTTTTACCACATTCCAATTCTGATTTGGAGGCTGGGAATGAAAGAAAAACTTCCCGTATTACATTAGTATTTATTACCACCTTTTTTTGGACCTTTCTTTCTCATTTGTAATTGAAAATTCAGGTACAATTGTTAGGTTTTGAGTTGAGAGGGCTAAAGGGAGGCAGATGTAGAAGAATTAAGCAATATGCTTAGCAGGTATAAAATCCATACTCCATCCAGGACTACTAACCACACAGCTATTACACTTGTAAGCCAAGATAAATAAATCCTTTCTGCTGTAGGCTGCTCATTGTCCAGAGGATTGAACTTAAAAAAGAAAATCATCCTGAATTTCCATTCACTGGAGTGAAATCTATGGCAAGTTTGCTGAAGTGTGGTTGATATTTCATTGTTTCTTGCAGAAGCCCATTGACATCAGCTGGGAGGTTTGCTCCAGCACAGGAATGAGGAAGCAGAGGGGTGCAGACAGTGAGAGCAGGTGCCAAGCCACAAGTCATGATGTCTCTGCAACAGTGCAGGGCAGAGAAATAAAAAAAAAGAAAATAAAGTATTCTGGGACAAGTTCACCTGCCTTCTAGCAGTGACAGAGCCACACTGACACACTGTTAGATGGCCAGCAGCACCTCAGCAACTTTATCCAGAGCAGGGCCACCTCATGTGCTGGGAAAAGCCTGAGTGTCACATCAGTCCTTGAGCCCTGTGCCCTAGGACATCCTCACAGGCCACTTGTCTGAGCTCCTCCTGATGTTGGTTCTCAGGCTGATACAACCTTTTTTCCTTTCCAGTTTGAAGGCTCCTAATATGTGCTGTATTCTTTTGTCATAAATCAATTTATACAAATAAATTTTATATAAAAGACATCCAACCTGTAGCAGTTGGACTGCTGTCTGCTCTGCTCTCGCCATGGAAAAAAGCACTTGAATAGCACAAGGTGCTTGCCAATTCAACAGTCCTTGAAATATTTACTCAGGTGTTTCTTTCACTTGTCTGCCCAGTTCTTGTCACCAAACAGCCACCCAGAGCTGCCTTGGAGCAGTTCAGTTGCTGGTTTGTACCTGTTTTTTCATGCCATTATCTGCACCAGAGAATGATTTCAAGCACATGGGACCAGCCTCTGCTACTTATCTTCCTCACCACTAATAGCTGCTTCCATAATTACATGAGGTGGAG